GTTGGAGACTTTTCAAAATACACGGAACCTAACGAACATCTAATATTAGTAAGGGCAACGTACCGGTAACCAGGCATTGTTTCTCAAAATTATTTGACTTCTCCTTATATAGAAGTTTAAATTAGCGTAGCCAAAAGCTTTGCGTACGCTATGAAATATCGTCGTCGTAATGCTAAAAAAAAAAAAAAAAAAAAGACGCGTTTTGGATTTGGCGCGAGCGCAGTGGTGATGTTGATAGTTTCTGCTTACGCAAAACTTTTGGCACTCAATTCTAAAATTTTCTAATATTCTTCCTCCAGTTATTTGCTCCTAAACGTGACCCCACCAGCGGTGCAAGTAAATGCGAGTACCCACCTCTTCATGATCTGCGACATTTTGTGTCCGAAGATTTCCTTGTTCTACTAGACCAGTGGTTCTCAAATGGGGGTCCGCCGACCCTAAGGGGTCCGCGAAGCCCTGCCTCATCAGTCAAGCCCGGCAATAAAAGTTGTTTTTTTCCGATTGAGAAGGAATATTTCATTTGCACGCTAGTTTTCTCGTCTGTAAGTCAATAAGAGAAGTCTACTTCACACTAGCCCTTAGCTAAATCCATTCATAATGTCATTATTATATTAAACTTATACATTCCCCCTCACCTCACCTCAAAAGGGGTCCTCCATCATCACCGCTGGTCCACAAGGGGTCCGCGAAACATCAATGGTTGAGGACCACTGTACTACACAATTATTTTTTTTCTTCAAACTTGTTTATACCATAAATAAGGTGATGGGATAAAAAAATATCAAGTGACTTTAAAATATCGACCATTTACCATATCTGATCTGAGATCACCCAATTCCACAATTATGTCACGACCTACATCGGTCGAAGAAGCTTCCGTAACGTTGCTCTTTCTTACCGATGCGTAAAGAAATTAATCAAACAGAGCCCCCCCCCCCCCCCCCCCCCCCTTCCTAAAAAAACTATTCCTAGCTACTTCGCTGCAAGGCTCTCAGGACCAAACGCGCCGGAAAGTTCTATTTTTCACAGGCAGTATCAGTCTCATCACAAGAACAAGACAAAGAAAAACCTAATATTTTTGGCGTTGTGCTTTATGGCGCCTGGACGTTGACACGACAGAGAACAGCAACTCTGGAATGCGGTGCTTGAGTACTTCGACTCCTTAAGACAGCAACCCTCCAATGCTGATTGAATGAACCATAGACCTGACTATACGTTTATTATTTTAACTTAAAAAAAAAGAAAAGAATAGAACATGTTTCTGCAGATTCGGAATGATAAATTTTTAAGGGTCCACGGAATTTAATTTACAGAAAATTGACGTTAATATGTTTTTGTGCCGTGCAATAACTGCATTATTTTGACCCTTTTGATTACTAAAAAAAATTCCGGGTGCAATGCAGAAAAAAAATATTATAATAGTGAAATGGTACATATTTTTGTTAAAATTACACAAAGCTTGATAAACGGTACTTTGTGCAAGAAGTTTCAGCTTAAAAGTATAATTCTAACATGTCTAAAAAATTTGCCAAAATATGCCTTAATATGAAAACGTTGCTCGAGAAGACAAATTTGTCATATTTTCTTTAACATGAACCTAATCAAAATTTAACTATTCCTACTATACTGCATTTTGCGTGTGTTATATATTTCAATATTGATGGCGTAGAAAGTCGTATTATTTATTCCTGTGGATATTAAAGTTGCGTCAACGCGCCTTTGGGAAAATATAGCTGTTTCCACCTCCTCTCGGACGCCATTTTTTATCACGAAAACAATGACGTATATTTCAAAAGTATGATTCGGCCCGTGTTGGGGACATGTTTTGCTCCCTCATATAAAAATTTAATTGGAAAAAATAGACATCTGAGCGCATCGAGTGCAGGAAAATCAACAAAAATGTAAGTCATATAGTTTATGGGATGTCGTGTCCTTGTGTAAATATTTGAAATTAATTGGGCAGTTTTTGAAGTAGAGGAAAGAACCGTTGACTTTTCTGAGGAGAGCTGCATTCCTTGTTGTTAGGGAACTTCTCTCTGTTACATCTGCATCCTCTTGTAGCAAAGTTTGAGCACTTATGGTAGAAATGAGTTTATATTACATATGAATATATCGGCATTGTAAACAGACGAATTTATGTACGGCCAAAGGAACTAGGCCAGTTTATGGTAACAAAGCGTTGAATAACGTGGGGCCGAAAAAAGAACTTTGTCGGATAATCTGTGCTTTTCCCATAACGGCATTTGAAGCCACAAAACGTTAGCGCTCTTTCAGGTAGTAAGCTCTCCAACGTAGGTCGCGACATTTGAGACATATCTAAAAAATTAATTAAAAGCACTAAAGCCAGTAGTTTCATTGGCTTGTGTTTGATCAAGAAACTCCAGCACAGTATTGTTTTCGCTGACTATTTTATCTTGGACACTAATGATTACAAATATCATTGCACATCTGTGTACAGCGTTTGTGACACACTGTGCAACGACAAAACCAGCACAAACACGACATTCACGCTTGTTAATGCCCATAGACAGGGATTCACGTTTTACCACTCAAATAATTTTGACTACTGACTTTCCATGTTAAGGGAAAGCCTGGAAATATTGGTGATCACTTGCTCGTGCTAACTGCGCTGCGCTCTGCACATCTGCGCCTGCCGAAACCATCAATACGTGTGAAAAGGTGTTCGAGATTCCTCAGCTCACCCTCGCACTGCTATGCGTTATGATATTATTCATAAAGCTTGTCATATAGCAAGAAACATAACCGGTCGAAATAACTCAAATCATGTGCGACAAGTAGCTGAGTGAGAGGAGGAGAGGAAAGAGCACGGGGACGTCAAAATGCCGAGCTCCGAGTAGAACGCGTTCGTTTGACAATCGAACGCGTTCGATTGTCAAACGCCGGCGTCCAGCGTTCCGCGTTCGCGTTCGAAGGCATTCTAAAGAGTGAGTAGAGACAAATACAGCTAGCGTTGTCTCTAGAAAAAAAAAGAAGAAGCTTATTGTTGATTGCATGACGCACTGCGTGGAACAATACAATATATTCCGAGATGGCAGCAGCCCCTTCATATTGTATTAACAACAAACATATTTCGTCAGAAGCAATGATCGCGAAAATATTACGCCGTGCCGCCAACGTTTCGGACGAATGACCTTGAGACAAAAGTGTCCGTAGCATGTTAACGGTTTTCAATATCCTTGGGATTGCCTAAGGGGCATCAAGAAGTCGTAGGTTCGTCGCTACCATTCTTATGGTTGTCATCTCGGCAAACACGTGCGTGGGTGTTTTGGTCCTCAAGATGATGCTGCAACCAACCCGTTGTATTTTTTATTTATTTATTTGGACCATTATAACCATTAACTTCACTGCATGAACCGGGATTTAGTATTGCGCGTGTTAATGTTCCATGTTTGGGCAAGTAGTTGTAATAACTCTGTCAATTGTGCACATATTTAAATATTACTTTCGTTGATCAGGTAGCTATGAACTTTACACCTCGTAATATGTACCGAATGTTTTCTTCTTAGGAACGTGAAGCCTTTAGGTGGAAAACGACAATAGGAAAATAATAATTTCGAATCGCTCCCCAATCCATCCAAGATGGTTCGTCTGAGGAATAACGCCCGTGAATTAAGTAACTTTATCTTCATCTTGCAGTTACTGCAGTATATTGTGAACCACCCTACTGCAACTACTCCAGTATCTTGGTCACTTAGATATATTGAAGAGCCAATATACGGGACATTTTTTCTTATAATTTAGCAAGTTAATTAGCGATCGTATTTTTTCTAATGTAGTTATCACTTACACAAATTTAGTTATGAGCATTATAACAGCCTCAGAATATAAAGCATTTTATTATTATACTTTGTGCGTCACTAGTGAATTTAGGGATTGTAAATCTCTTAAGGGGTCGGATGTAAAAACTTGCAAAGCTTACAGACATTTCCTAGCAGTCATTTTTACCTGACAAACGACACACTAAAATGCCCACAGCTGACGCCGACAAAGGTCTCGAAGCGAGCGTTTTGCGCAAGCACAATATCGCACCGCTGGCATGCAGATGGGCATGTCTTGGACAGCTTATACATATTTTGGAAATCCGGAAGTTATCTCCCGCACCTGCTTAAGTAATGGTGAGAACCGGAAACTCGTAATGGGCCACCAATTGGTATAAATCGTCCATCTTGTAACTTAGGCCACACGCATTCAATTAGAATACGATCGCATGGCGGCACCAATTATTCAATGTAGGTGTTGACCTTAGTGCAAGACTGCATATGGAGATGCTTCGTCGACAGTGGAGCCTGTCCATTCAGTAGCTTTTTCGTATCTAGGACATACCGAAGATGTGGGACAATCTAGAGGGACGACTTTTGTTTCGTTTATTTTGCTTATATATTTTGTATTCAGTAGATATTAATCGTTTAATTAATTTTATTAGTAGTATGCCTTTTTGAGTAACTTTAATATACAAAGCGAAATTAATATAGTTCAGCTTGTGGAGGATAAAGATGATTAAGTACTGCACTAGATTATCGGTGATGGCACGATAATGGATGGCTCTCACTGCCGTCACATTAGCGGCCATGGTTGTGGCCTTGCAACTGAGCGCGTACCTTCTGCGGTCTATATTTCGCATCATTAAATTTGTTTGTCTCGGCGGAAACAAGTAAAAATTACCACCGGTAGTATCCGATGACGGAAGATGTAAGCCATGAATAGTGTTGTTATTCAAAAAGGAAATGTTGATGTTGCAAGTTCTGAACCTTTGTCGTGAAAGGTTTTGAGGTAATCACGGTGAACATTTAAAAATTCCTAAAACCAGATATGACGTTCTTGGTTGTCGTTTGCCTTTTGGAAATATAGAACCTTCAGATAAACTATTCTGCAAGGCACGGACCTTAGAAATGCAGATCAAAAGTATTTCTGGACGTGCAATTTTAGTTTTTCAGTAGTAGCTTTTGGTAGCAGATCCTACCAGCGAAAAAGTTCTAGGATTTTCTTGCCACAGTTTCTTCTTTCGTTACCACATGAAACAGGCATAAACTGGTAGTCAAGGCAATTGCTTTTTATTGTACTGTGGGTACACAGAGACGGATAGCTCACTAAAATAAAATAAAATTGAGCCACAAAATGACACTCGGGGAAAGGGAGAGTCACACAAAGGAAGCAATGACAATGGCAAAAGAAACTTGAACACAACACTCCTTCCACCAGCACAGGCGCGTGGCGGTTAGATACGTCTTGGCACGTGAAAGAAATGAAAAGCGGAAATACAGCAAAACGATACTCCAAGAATGTACCCCGAACGACAGAATGACACAAACCCGCAATAGAGAGAAAGGCGGACCCTTGGTTCCCTCGATTGTTTAGCCCAAAAGGGGAAAAACAGTCGCAACGGTTTTCGCGTTGAGGATTATACAGTAGAAGTGCAGATCACACACGCAAACAACAAGGAGAACGGAGAGAATGCACAGGTGACTTCAGACAAGAGACAAGTACGAACCAAGACGAACAGCAGACGAACCCGATGACCAAGACCAAGACACAAACACGGGAAGCACGACAGCGCGAAAGGCGAAAGAGGACAGGTTACAGGAATCGGGGTGAGGAAGTAAACTTTACACAAGGCCCGCATCTGCGATGTTGTAGACGACGCGCGACATCTCCGATACGACGTCGATCGTAGATACGGATGCACACGACGTTCACACAAGCGTCACAGTTTGAAGCGCGGAAGCGTCGTAGCGGTCTAGCGGTTCATCTAGCCCTTGAAGCCTCCGGGCGCCGATCAACCGCGGCGGTTGCCCTCGTTGGCGACGGCGGCCTCGGGTCCTGGCACAGCGCTGGATTGGATGGTCACGTCGGCAGGGTCTTTGGACTCGGTGCCCACCTCGCTGGTCACAATGTCGGCGTGGAAGCCCGTGTCGTCGGCGTAGTACGTGACGGTCCTCGAGGTGCCGTCGGGGTGCGTCAAGGTATACTTGCCGGTGACTTTGCCGCTGCCGTCTCCGTTCTGCTCGTGCGAGTGGCTGCCGTCCTCAAGTTGGGAGAGGTACTGGAAGGCGTACGGGATCGGAGGGCCGTAGTTCTCTTGGGGTGCACCCCCCCGCTGGGCGGCCTGCAAGCAATGAACCACATGGAGCGAGTGGAGTCAGTCACTGACAAAGGTGAGACCGACATGGCGTCTCTTCGAAACGCTCGGCCTCCAGCACGCGCTTGATGCCTTCCGCCGTGCTTTGGCTGCGCGTTCACGCTCGAGACTTACGAAATACCGAAGCGCTATCGAAGGCGGAATGCTCGTACTTGAGGCGGATCGACTGAAATTCTTCCCTGACCTTCTCATTATTTCGGCGACTATAAGTTAAATGGCTTCTGAAATGTAACTTAATCACAATCGCAAGTACAACGAGTTCCCCAGAAAAGAGAACCGTCTTCTTCGGCCCGGGGAAATACACTATGCATCGCGTAAATCTGAAACTCCACGAGAATCTGTTGGAATAGAACGCGAAAGTTCGAGAACATGACGTTACTTGGATCAAAAGATAATTGAGAAAAACGAAATGTCTACGAGCCGACGTCCACCTTGACCTAATGTCGTCAAAACGAGAAACTACACTGTGGGCACCTGCAGCATCTATTTCAGTGAACAAAAGCTTGTCAGCAAGAAAGAAAACAAAATTTTCTTTCTTGTTAACACGATTCTTTTTTATTGAAATATAGCAGGCGCCCACAGTGTCATTTCTCGTTTTGACGATATTAGGCTTAGGTGGACGTTAACTGATGAAAAAAGGTAGCTTTTTTTTTTTTTCTTTAGGGTAACGTTATGTTCTCAATCTTTCTCGTTATATCCCAACCGGCATCGTCACATTCTCACGGGGTTCGAGCTTTCTGCGATGCATACTTTATTTACCGGGGCAAAAAAAAAAAAAAAAAAAAACGCGATTCTCTTTCCGCGGAAACTCCCTGTACTTTTCTCAAGACATATCTTATCCCAATTAAAATTACTACCGCACAAAAACGAGTTAATTAAAATCACACGTTACATTAAGAAAGCCATATAAATTCTTCACGACCTCTTTCTCCTGTGTAGTGAAGATGGTTCTGCTACTGCGTGTTTTGTGGTACATCTATTAAGAAGTGTCAGGTCACTTGTCTGCGGCCTGTTTGGTTGAACAAAGTTCTCATGAAGGATGACCTCAATCATGGACCATCTAGTTGACCTCATTGCTTCTCATAAATATTGTCTACGGATAGGACAGAGGTATTCGTGCTTACATCCTTACAGTTGGCTGCGGTGTCTCGTTCAGACTGGCAGGACTAGCAAATCAACACACGCCGGGAAAACTTTCTTTTGAAATTCAGGCAATGTTAGATGTGCGAGTACTTGGCTTTGAAGTGCTTCCAAGATTACGAGTGTACGGGAGCTTATACCTTTGACTGCAGTGCTGCAGAAAGTTCAGTTTTATAAAAACCAGACACATTCCGCCATTTTGAGGTTACTCCGATCGTTCATGACCAATGAAAGATTTTGGGCCGCCTTTATCTTGAAGATATATCGAGCAAGGAATTAAACAAACGTTACTGTCGAGCGAGAATAGCGTGTAATTTAGCCGAGGTACCTTCTAGAAATCCACGAATCCACTTACATCAGCTACAGAAAGAGCAATATGCAATAAAAAAAATTGTACGTGTTTATATACCATTGTTTCGCATCATCGCTGCTAGAAATTCAAGCTATACAGATTTGGGCACAGCATGAAATACAGGAAGCATCGTACGCACCCGAGTTGTTTCACCATCTAGGTCAAATTATGCGCTCTGGCTAGCTGATTCTTTTTCACTACATACATTTCGTAGAAAACGTATATATAGCGTTGCGCTTTGAAATGTGAATACTGTCCAGTGGATAATTGTTTATCCATCATAAAGGTCTTTCTTTTCTTTTTTTTTTTGGGGGGGGGGGGGGGTTGAACATAGGATCAGTAATGTGCGTCTGGAGGCCATATATGAGGACAATCAACCTCCTTTCAATATAAATTTACATCTGAAATCGGTCAAATAATGAATGTTTTTTTTTTTTTTTAATCTTCCCATGCGTTAAGGTCCCGACAGAGTGGCATTCATTCGGCAAAGTGTAGTAGTCGCAAAATGTTTGTAAGCAGTGTGCAGAAAGTCTCGGTGACAGTATCTTTATGGCGATGGTATCGCAGCCGCACGCTACAAACAAATCCCATAAGGCTATTTCAGTTATTTGAGTTTGAGCGTTCCACTACGTTGCGTTCCACTACGATATGTTATAAGGGCATCTAACGCTGCAGAAACAATCTCGTCGTGAGCAGTGAAAAGCGGTCGTTGCGCTGTTACACACCAGAACACAAATATTCGAATACTGCCTTTAGAGTGCTTCGAGTCTCTCTTGCATACTCTACACACGTGAACCGAGACGAAACCAGCGTTATAAAGCAGATTCATACTGGTTATAATGCATAAGATATCCTTAGAGGCATTCCTCACAAGATAGCTTTGGAAAGCGTGCGGCGTTGTTAGCCAGACTATTCTGAACTTGCAAATGATAGTACTGCGTCGGAATAGGAAACAAATCTGGAGGGTACTTACAGCAGCGCAGACGCACGCCAGGAGAAGTGTGATCTGAAACATTTATCAGAAACAGAATGAGGATACAAAGGGCTCAACTGCGCTTTTAATTGACCATAACACCATATCTATAGAGCGCCTGAAAGCTCTAGCTTTACGTGGACAAAAACACATCGTGTAGGATATACGAGTAAAGCGATAGCTAGATAGCAGCATACTTTAAGAATAACCAGGGTCGTAAAGTTGCGTTTCGTTTCTCGAAAGTGACCACTCCTTTTGGCAGACCCACAGACTTCTTAGCAAACCTCTAAACCCAAGTTTAAAAAATCGTCTCTGTATTAAAGCCAAATACGTAATCGGAAAGACGTCACCAAAGCAACGACAAAAAAGTTTGGTTTAAAACAACAAATAACGCAAAGCAGTACGTCAGGTGTAGCTAATTTCCCCCACACTCACGAAAGCCTCCCAAAGATAAGAATAAAAAAAAAGGCAAGCAAAACGTTGCGATGTGGACGCAGGGTCGTAATCCGAATGCTGGTAGCCCAAGCTCCGAAGCCGTCCTCTCGAGGATTCGAGTGGCCGGGACGATGCACCCCGGAGGCATCGGTGAAGTCGACGTCTCAGCATCAGCTCACCTTGTACATTTCGTAGAGTTGTGGCTGGTAGGGTGCTCCTTAGAGGCAGTGGAATGTCACCAGCGAAACAAAAAAAATATGATGCCGCGAGTTGTGGATGCCTTCTGGCAGCGCTCATCTCCGCTTTTATAGCGGGTCCGCCGGACACCGGCTGTCCGCCGCTGACCAATCGCGGACCGCTGTCCTACATTGCGCAATACCGACGTCGACGAGAGAGCTTCGTGCCCCGCCCCCTACGAGAACAACAACAACGACTTCTTTTCTGCTGTTGCTGCTGACGCTACTAGAGGAAAAGCTACGATGACGTCGACGATGAACCTGAGGAAGCCAGCGGCGGTAGCGATGGTGGGGGGGGAGAGAGAGGAATGCGACAACTTTCGCTTCTAGCGCGTGCTCCTCCGGGATGAAAGGTTATCCCTCACCGCCACAGCCGAAAAACCCGTTAGAGTCGAGTGGGACGGCACCTTCCGCCCGCTGCCGGAGAGGGAGAGTGCAGAGAAAATGACTTTTCATGACGCACGATTTTCCCCCTTTTTTCTTTTTTCTTCGGCCATCATCATCTTCCTGTATTTTTTTTTTTCTCCATGGTTCGTGCGATCATTACGCAAAGGGGAAAAAAAAAAAGAAGAAAGGGGGGGGGGGGGGGAGGATTGTTGTATGAAAGCAAAGGACACCAATTCGTCTACATCATTGTTACCTAAAAAAAATGAACTGTAGAAAATAAGCTAGACATGTACAGTCCTTATACGAAGAATGCATGAAAATGAATCGAAGGTCATGCTAAAGAAAATGGTTGCAAATCATCACTGAGTATGGCTAAGAATGTTGTAGGATTCCATTTTGTCGCAGTGCTGTTAGGGAGGTTAGCCCAGCCCACTATTGTAAATAGCAAAGTGGAGTCATGAAATTAGAAGAATAGAGCAGATATGGGGGGGGGGGGGGGGGACAAAATTCGCACACATTATCAATTGGGTAAAGATGGGATCGGGCATAAGTTGCTATAAAGTTCAGATGTCATTTGAATATTGTGAAAGAGGACCAGGAGGGATGAGTTTCCTCTGGTTGAGAAAAAAGTCGAGGTTAGTTTCTTACCAAAGTAACTCTCGTGTGTCGGGAGTAATTTGAGCGTGCGATTCTGTTCTGTCTCATCGCCTTTTACCAATCAGTGCTTCGAGCGGGATCCAGCCGATGGCACATATTCAGGCTGTGATGTGGCATGCGCAATCTAAGGCTCGTTGTTTCTGGTGACGTCGGTGCCAGTCTTGGATTGTATATAGACGATAACCGAAAGAGCAGTTAGCGTTAGCCAAAACGTTTATCACATGCGCGTTCCACGTAAGGTATAGTACACTTGCTTTCACCTAGGGTCCGAGCGTAGTCAAAGGTTAGACGACACACAAACGACAACGCACAAACTAAACGTGCAAGGTCACGACGCATTCTCTTCGCTTGATTGGTTTAGCAGATGGTAGCCTCCGCACGAAAACGCGAACAATGCCGAGACGCTGCGCTTTTGACGCCGCTTGATTGTTCTCATCGGTTCGCATCGTCGGCTGCCCTCTTTACTGACGATGAGACGAAGTACAGAGAGGATCTTTGCAAGAAGGACACGTGGCGCATAAGTCCAAGGGCGCGCGTGAAAGAAACCAGTTGCGTTTTTGAGACGTTAATTATTATTTGCGACCTTTGGCACCAGGGAGCTATTGGGTTAAGGTCAGCGTGTTGGCATACGTAACCGTCCAGGTTAGACATGGGTCGAAAATTGCGCAGTCTTAAACAAAAACTCGAATAATTTGTTTAACGATGCGGGGAGGTTGTTTACGAGTTCGAAAATGACCTGCGATCTTTATGTTCCAAGTCCTTGAATGCGTGGAATGCAATATTTCATCATATAATCTATTTTGTAGTATATCAAAAACGACCGTTTAAGTTTTTTTTATTTTCTTTTTTTTTTTTTGTTGAAGACATTAAACAGACATTACGGGGAGTGATGAACATATTAGAGAGTTTTAGTAGATCGTTCAATCACTCCCGCTACTCTATCCGCAATCCGCTGCAACCTCCTTTACATGTATTGTAGGGGAGTCGCGATTTAAAGTTTTAGTAGAATCCTCTAGATACCAGTGTTACGAGAGCTAACGCAACGCCACTAGCGTTGCGTTATTAAGAATTCATTTATTTTTATAAATGAATTCTCAGTAATCTTTCATTACTGCCGATATCCAATTATAATATTAATTTTTTAATAAAATAAAGTGCTAAGTTTTGCTTCTTCTATAGGTGAATGTGCTATATGTTTCTGACGGCCAAGCTGGCCAAGCCGATACGATTTTAGTCAAGCGCCAAGACATCAAGGCAAAGCTTCGTGAATGACGACATCCGCAACTCTTCGGTTGTGTCGTTATGATCGATCTTTTTAAAGGGGTAGCTTTGTAGGGCCAACCAACTTGAAGAGCCGCGTAAGCACAAAATGTGTAGGTCGATCCGCCGATAACCGCCAAACTATCTTTAAAAAAAGAATAAAAGAAATAAAGCAAACGGTACCCGGTACCAGAAACCCCCGTCGCCGGCTTTGAAGACGAGCGCGCTGCTGGCTGAGCAACGGACCCAGCTCGCAGGAGCGGGAGGAGCAGAACCAGGTGGTGTGAGAAAGCGCACGGAGCGAACAGAAGTCGAAAGGGCAACAATAAGAGGAGCAGAAACAGGGGGCATAGAAACAGTGCGCGGACCGAGGAGGAGCGGAAAGGGCAGGAAAGTGCGTTTCCCCTCTCTTGGTGACCGAGAAAATTCAGCGCAAAGACTTTGTATCCGGGTGAACAAATTAAGTCGTTTTTAGATTAATTTCTTCCAACAAAATTTAAATTTATATAAAAATCATTATTGGCCTCGAGATCGACCCAGAGGGGGCGCTACTGTCGCTCTACCATCATCATCAAAGCGGGGATAGAAGCACGGCCGCCCTATAGGCTCTCCAGGTTCTCGCGCGTGAAGGCTTAGATTCTTGCGTTTATTTTGTCCCGTAGTATCGGTGGAAAAACAATTCTAGCGGAAAATGGTGCGGTACCGTTCGGTGCTTCAGTGAAGATCGAATCGTGTTACCAGCGTACAACACAAATTTAAATCATCGCTTGTGTGGATGCGTCGTCTGCTCTAGGCAGACGTTGGGAAGCATGGATCACCACGACGGATGCCTGCCTCCGCGTGAACTGCGTTATTTAAGTTAAATATCTGTTCCTTTTAAAATAGATGTGTCGGTTCACCAGCGTGGGAATTCAATAAAACAATGAATTCCAACACGGATAACATAATATTGGTACTGAGGGCTGGGAAATCGCAAACTCAAGTTTTTTTTTTTTTACTTTTAGCTTTTTGCAGTAAAATAAATACTTAGCATGAAGAGAAGTTAGTGCTGTATCGAAAATTATTGTGCTATTGAGATCCTCTGCAGTTTCCCTTTACTGTGCCATGGTGTGCGTAAGTTTTTCGGAGTCTGGACAAATATACTACGTTCCGATGAGGAGAGAGTGCCTCTTCTAGTTACGATCTGCGAACTGCACGTTGACAGGAGAACTGATACAAGTGAAAAAACTGTCCTAATTTATCTGCCGCTAGTGTACTAAACTATAGTGTAACCGAGCAACGCAGAAATGTTGGTGTTATTAAATGCTTTTTTCGGTAGTGTGGGTTCACCCGCTTCAATCTTCTTGGCGAGGGCCGCGGATGTCAAGAGGCTAATGTTATAACCTTCTGGCTAAATAATATTTCATTCAAACACAGTAGACTCTGCAACTCTAACAAACAGCCCGCACCACGACACAGATAGCATCGGCCGCAGCGACACTCTTTTACTGATGAGGGTTAGCAAACTTCATAGATTTTCCTATCGCCATACGCCCTAACCTAACGCATATGAGGAGAGGGCTGTTCATCGATTAACTTTCGGATTATTCGAATGATGCTTTAATTGGGATTGTTTTTGCCGTTTGATCGAAATCTTGTGCTGGAGAAAGTCAGGAAAAAGTAAAAAAAAAAGGCCTGCTTTAATATTTCTGACGTCTTTACTTCTTCTATGACACAGGCTTGCACGGTAAAACACATGAGCGGGCTTGTGATTGCCACCGAGGGTAATTATACTGTTTAAATAATAACTTAAAAATGACTTCACTTTAAAAGGCTTCCCGTGTTCATATTTCTGTAGGCGTCACAACGGGACGTCTGAAACTGGAATGCAATATGTCATTTATGTGAAAAAACTGGGATGCAATATGCCATTTATGTGTGCAGGCGAGCTGGTGATTTCTAATCATGTCATATAACACCTGAGACTGTGGTCCCTTTCTGGTGTCTGTTCCTTCTACTAAAAAGTTTCCAATTTCTTCCACCGCAGTCTCAGGTGTTATATGACATTAGGTCATTTATGACAGTAAAAATAGTAAAAGAATGTGTACTTTTACCTCTTTAATGCAATATGACCTGCGACGAAAAATTCACCAACGGATTTATTGATTGATTAGTCTATTAAAGGGGGGGGGGGAGCCGCGGTCAGTCGGGTTAATTTTCTAATCAAACCACAGCTCCCATCTGCATTCAAAGTTTTATGAAGACTAATGTTTGTGCCAGATAACAAAAATACATGGGACCAGCGACCCAACACACTAAGATTATGGAAGCTTCCGACTTAAAGGGAAGCTACGGAGCTTCTTGAAAAAACTGAGTTAGAAGTGAATTCTAGTGTATTTTTACCTCGTGAACCCGAATACCAAAACCATTTTCCGCGCAAGTATTTTGAAACGCGAGAAAAACGCGAAAGACAGTCGCTGTACGTGACGTCATCGACGGATCTTTTGGCTTGCCAAGGCTAGGGAGGCGGGGCTTCAGCCCTATTTTCAAATTGCTCTTATGGCTCTCCGGCGCATCGCATTGAAATATAATTGTGATATCTGTTATTCTAAAGGGCAGATGAACGCAATTCAAACGTTTTTTCTCAAATGTAGAAGTGCCCCATCTTCCCTTTAATAATAATCGCTTTGCTGCATTTCCAAGCATGCGAAACGATACAACACAGCCTTTAGTAAAAAGAAATGACAACTAAAACATCGAAC